TCCGGTTAGTTAACTTTTCTAGAAGACGATGAAGGAATAGTTAAACCGATGCTAAAGTTATTTCGATATAAATATTAGTTAGAAACCTCAAAAATTTAAAATTTACACCTCGATGGTCCAAAACAGCTTCGTTTGACAAAACGGACTTCAGAACTTTTAGCAATCTTGAATTATGTGTGAGAATGTCCTTTATTATATGACCTGAGGGTAAAGCAGAAACTAGATTGTGCTGTTTAAATGAACTGTAGCTACGAGTGGAAATTACGCGCATTGCATTGAAGCTGTGACCAAATTGAAGCTGTGAGGTGGTATGTGGCTATAACAGCAGGTTTCTGAAGAGACAATTTGCATTTCGGTTGGAGGTAAAGCACTGAGTTTGGCTACTTCATGGTAAAGCTACAAAGTTCAAAAATGACAACAGGAAATGCAAAAACATTGCCCTTATCCCACTTGAAAATCGCAACTTTCCTTCACCTTTATGCTAAAATTTGGCTATCAACAAACTCGCACAAACCCCAAATCTCTCAATTTTACACTAATTAGAAAGTGCTTCGCAGTGTCCGTACCACTTCACTTCATTCATTAATTCATTTTGCTTCATTTTTTAGGTACATGATAGCAAGTGGACAGTCTCCATGTTTCTGCTCTTAACGTGGACGTAGCCATTTGCCACAGAGCTCCATTAAATGGATCAAAGCCAGAGGAGACAAAAATCCCACCATCATTCAAAAATAATTTCACAATGCCGAACTTGACAAACATAGAGCATTATTTAGTTATCACAATTGTCAACTATTTATGGTACTTCATTGTTTTGGCATTGCTTTACTTCCAATCTGTCCACCATATTTCGAGCAAATCATCTCAGTCATGGACTTAAGTGCCTTCTGACTTTACTCACTACGGACTAATTTCAAAATAAGCGAGTAAATGACGCTTTTGCAGTCCTAGACTGGTGTAATAAGAGGGGGAAGCTAAGAGAGCAAGTGAGTTTGACGGTGCTTTAATAGCTAGCATAGTCCTCAATTTTATCACCTCTGTGGGGCTAGAATTGAGGCTACATTAGTAAATTAAATTGTCGCCTAGAGGTATGCGATCAACAGTGACAAGTTATGCATTGATTCTCAAATTTGTATTAGGGTTAGTAGTCTGCCAGACTCGCGGTGAATTGGTCCCTGGGTAATGCCAAAAGCTCAACATCCACTCTGTAAACTGGACATGGATGCTCCGCCCACGTGCTACACCACCTCTCGTCTTAGAGATCAAGCCCGTAGCATTGGAGGTTGAGTAAACTTTCCAACTAAAAGTGCACCTTTGACATTAATTCTAACGTCAAAAGTTTGTTGGTCACAAATACCTTATCATTTACAACTTTATTTGGTAGCTTCGAAATAGTATGACAAAATGCCTCCTTATTCAAAGTCTTTATTTATTAAATTGAAACCGTAATTTCGGTATTCAGAATCCTAGTAGATTCAGAGGGTTACTCCATTGAATAAGCATTAAGCAAGCATATTAAATTGAATGTTATATGCAAGTCGTTATGTGTGGATCCAAGTTAGCCCTTTTGCTGCGCAATCGATTGTGAGCAGCCCCAGTGAGCTGTAACGCTTAGCTTGAGGGCTTTTAACGAAAGTTGATTTACCTTCCCTACCGCACGTGAAAACCAAATACCATTTTGACTTTTGCTTTGTATTAATCAACGCGTGACAGATTTTAAAGCTTTCATGATTATAGCATTACCACGTGCTGAGGCGTGCATTAGTTCTCGCTCTATCCCATCATTAAGTCAATTAGCAACACCCCTTCCCACTTCGGGTTGCACGCAAGCATTTAAGCAGCTGATTTGCGTGTGAAACGTTCTGTAAGCCTTTCTACTCTCATCTCGGCTGTATATGACTTGCCCGCACTTACGAATTTGTACCCCTTCGACATATTGTTTACGAGATCTGGCACGCAAGCTTAAATGTGTTCCCGTGCGCTGAGCAGCAATGCCAGAAGTAAGAAATCAGACGGTTGAGATCAGAACTCTTTGATGCCTCGTCCGACTCAATACCTCTACTCTTTACGAAACGCTATGAGTTCATCATCTTGACAAAGTCCTATCTTAACACACTATCAAAATCCAAAAATGGTGTGTCATAATTGTTTTGCATCAACTTCGCTATCAAGTGAATTCACTTTCCATAAGCTTCGATTACAGTAACTAGCCAGTGACCGTGTGCATAAGTCTGCTGCTCAAATACACTGCCACGATTCTGTAGGCAACCACCATTTATATTCCAGTAAGAGTATGAAATGATCTCCTTTCCGGAGTGTAGGTGCGCGCCTTAATCAAGATATGGTCACATGCTGATGATGGGATTGCGACGGTTTAGCTAGTAAAGCATTTTTATTTTCGCTTTAGAGGCTGTTGCGTAGCTTAGTAGAATTACTTAAGAGAGAGAATCCTACTTTCCACAGTCAAGCAGTTACGACTTGTGCATTTCGAACTCACTGATCGCATTACTAAATTTGCACTTCTGTTTCATAATTCCCAACCAAAAAATGGCAATCTGCGATTTCGATAAGATTTCACTGAAAAAGAAACACTTGATGTAGTTTTGATAAATCCATCTTTTTTGGATATGCTCTTGTAACGTCTCCAGATTCCTAACCGGGTGGAAGAAGGCAGTAAGAGAAGCTGGATACACGCATTCCAAAGAGGACAGAGCAAATGAGCCTGGGCATGGTCCAAAGGCCAGTCTACGAGTACAAGGATCAGGCGAATCCTAAAGTGACCGCCAAACGTCAGGCAGTCATATAAGCAAAACTTTACACTGCCTCTATTCATACTTCAGGCAAATAAATCACTTAAAATTTGTTGATAAATACAATTCTGCAAATTGTTTAACTTTAAGACAATCATTTACTCTCAAGACCTTATTGAAGGAACCTCTTCGTGCCCCCTACCTGGTGCGAGCTATTCTTTAGTGGAGAGATAATGCGAAATCGGGTACTGCTAGATGACTTCTGTCAAGAGGATCGATCGATCGTATTTCTGTCCTTAAGTCAGTCAATTTTGGTCCTCCGTCATTGCTCTCGAGACTGTTCCCTTGCTCTTGGCAGGCAAAATGCGGGAGTCGTTTTGTCGAAACAATGCAACTTTTTATTTGCGTAGTTATGAACACATAGTGATGGCAGCGATAGTAAAAGATTTGCTTAGGAAACAAACCATTCCTTCCTTCCTGATCGTTCGTGAGATATCTGTAGGGGAAACCCTGACCTAATGTGAGAGCTGATACATCGACGTTTTATTAACAGCCTTGACACCTTAAGATACAGCTGTCAAATTTATCGCAAAATATTGCTCAAATTACCCTTCATTCCTTTGATTGCATACCTAAACCTGTGTGGACACTCGACATTCACCACACACAATCACAGGCCTTCTTTTCACTTGGTTTTGACTGAACATTTCGCGTTCATGAACTGTATCCAAAGCTACCCATATCTTCAATTTTCGCATGGGCATAAACGTGCAAATCTACAGAGCTCGAATATTATTATGAAGAACTGAGGCAAGCTACTTAAACCATGTCAGGTTGAGACTTTTTGAAATGTGTCAAAGGAAACAAAAACGAAGTACTTTTGCACGAAAATACTGGGCAGATGCATGCACAAACAATGGCCTAGTCATTTGTTGGATTAATAACACCACTTAACTGATGTACAAGAACCAAAGCTACCCATTGGGATTTTGCGAAGATAACGTTGCACACAAACGTCGAGGAGAAAAATATTGAAGTTTACCCATCCCACACGCCACAAGGGCAGCCTTTACAAGGATAATGAGGAGAACAAGGATCCCTCACACCTATGTCGCTTATGAAGACGGGAACGTTCTAGTTCTGGTTAATGTTTGTCTGTCCAAGATGGATCAGAAGTTTGTTAAACTTTCCTCATCCCCCTTACCTTACCTTAGTTTTTGTTCGTCTTTATTCTCTAAAATTGAAGCCAACTCAGGCTGACTCATCTCACCTTTTAGTAGTTGCATTTGTTAATTTTTATGTATTCAAAATGAACATGTAACACTCCGCTGAAGAAAAAGAATCCCTAAAAAGAACACCAACCCACCTTGGAGTCCCACGATTATAATTCTACAAAATCCTACACCCTATTTCTAAGCCATAATCTTTACAATGATGCTAAAATACGAAGTGATAGAATCTGCTCAGGTGGAATTTGAGCTGCCATCACTTGTTTTTGGAACTGCTGGAAAAGTGTGCCTAATCGCCTCGTTTGGCTAATGACCATAAGCTGGAACTGATGCCTCATGAGTAGATCACTAGAGAATGGACAACCTAAACACACCGATAAACCAAGGCCGACCGGTTTTGCAACTCGAAATTGTCGTCCAATACCTCAGTTGAACCATCCACACTATTTAGGATGCTAACTTGCATACCCTCGCCATTATGCTCCGTCTACTCATTCAACCAGCCACAAAGTCTGACGACACATTTTAAGTCACCTCCACATAATCAAGGGACGAAAATGTTGGCACTGAACCAGTGAGGAATTGCATGACCCACCTTCTATACCGAAAAACTTGAAAGTGATCAATGCCACCTCGTCCGCCACTGACTTATTAAAAGTTGTTGTTGACGTCTCACCATGGTAACGGCGCCTACCTAACGCACACATATCGAAGATTTTCAACTTCAGTCTGCCTTCTAACTGATTTAACAATGAGACCCAGAGTGCATTAAGCCCTGACTTGCTTTATGTCAATTTCGAGTTTTTAGGAATAATGACAAGACTTATCGTTAATCGCTAAAAGGGCAGTTGGGGGAGATTGACGGACGAGGATACGCTCAATCGATCTAGACAAAAGTGAAATGAGTCAGGAGAAGAGAGTGAACATGTACGCAGACTGTACACTTAGAATATTGCACATTTATCACCAGACAATCGCAATCACAGCCGATCCGAAACAACAAAGTAAAAATTATTTAGAGTTACTGAGGGGGGACGCCGATTCGGTAGATGCGTATAGCACGACAACCAGGCCATGTACTACCTAGACACCGGAAGGGAAAGCGTTGTTCCCTTGCGGGACCAGCACCGCTAATATAAAGTAATGCAATCAAAAAGATAAGGAGAAGTAAAGGAGGAACAATAAAGATTGAAGAACTTTTCCATTGATAATCACTACGATTTCGGTCTAACGTATAATTTTTGATTGAGTCCTTTTGCAAAAACTTGGGGAAGGAGTCCCATTTGGGGACGCAAGTGGAGGAGGCCTTGACTACTTGTTCATCCGAATCCAAGTCCCTGCTCAGAACCTGTTAATGAAGCATAGGACTGTTAAACTAATTGACCACTAGTTAAAGTCTAACCACAATATTCTCATCTATTAAATCATGGCAAATAACATCTAAGAGCAAAGTCAAGAGATGAAAATCTTACCGTATCTCTGATAATAGGAGTTGACGTTTGTAACCGTTCGGTAAGCGTTTCTAGATAGATAAATCTAGTAAAATGAAAAAGTCGTCATTGCAGTCTTGGTTGAATAAGATGAGCCATAAATGCCACAACTTAGTAATGTGAAAGGATCGTGTATTCATGAAAAGTACATTTTCCCCTTCATCACAAAATCCAGGCGGAAGCTAACACAACGCATTCTGCATTTTAGAACGTAAAGAGTTTGCAGAAACGATCGTGTTCCAACCATAGCGTACCCTCGATTACAAAATGTGACAGGATAACTTATTTTAATTCCGCGTTCAACGTATCTGTTCATTTAACGACATCCCTTTCCAACAACTGGTTCCGTTGCATCGCAAAAAGACAACCGTCTTAATGCATTAAATGAGGAGAGGGTGATAAAAATATTTTGCGTCTAGCTCATATTTCCGCAAACAGCCAGACCAACGATTAGAAACATAAATAAGAAGTGAAAATTAGAAGCTCCCAGTAAAAATAAAAACTAGAAGGGACAAGAGACAAACTTCAACCGTGGTTCCTAAAAAAAACATCCGCTTGGACAAAATTATAAACGATACATCGACACGTACTCCAACAAACGATCCCCATTATTTCTGCGATAAGAAAACATACCGTATGAGGAACCATGTAAAGTTGAAAAAAAGTGAATCATGCACTCCAACACTGTTGAGGTGAGAATAACCTGCACCTATGCTAAAGTGAAATTTCAAATGGAAGCAAAAATTGAAAATAAATAATGATATGAAATGAAACAAAGTAGGCATTCGCCTCCGTTACATCGAAGGCGTTTGGGGTTTGCGTAGTGTCGTAAATGTGGCCCAAAATAGTCATAGGCACAAACCTTGATGACTATATTGTCCAAAGTAAAGCAGCTATACGAATCATCAGATTCAGGCGTTACCCAAAAGGCACATGGCCCTTAAACACTTTTCCAATAGAAATATCAACGCAGAATGGATTGACTGGTTTGGTTAAAATTAGCAATTGACTCGAAATCATAGTGTCTGGCATACGAACTAACAAAACTTTTCAAACAAACGAAATCCAAATCAAATTCCCGGGAAGAACGCTAAGAATGAGGAACAGCTAGCAGTAGACTTGAATGCAAGTATGTCTTAACATTTAGGTTTATCATTTGAGTGGTCAAGAGTCATGAAACTTCCGAAACTAGGAAAGGCTTTGCAAAATCCTGGGGATGTACACTTACGCAGATTTAATTCCGTTCGCTTGTTCTGCAAGATAGCGGATGTCTTGCGTAGTACGATCTAGAATTTCGCCGAGACAACCACCAAACAGAGACTCCAAATCTGAAAGCTCGGGCACATTCTGCGTTGCTGGATGAGTACCGTGTATCATCTGCAGCTTCAGTTCCAAAAGTGCCTCCCGAAGACTTTCACATTCTTCTACCACAGCACAGAATTCGCTAATTAGTGTCTTTTAAGAAAAGAAGAAAGAAACTGTACACGAATTTCCCACGAAGTAAGCGTGACCGAAGTGAGTGTGCAAATTAAGGTTTACGACCATAAAATTCGTGATAAAATTTTATTTGAGAAGTATCTAGACTACATTACTGAAAAAAGAAACATAAATAGAAGGGATTTTATAAAAAAATATTAAGTTCCTTGTTAATCTAAATTTTACCATTTCCATGATAAAAATGTTTGAATATACGCACCACCAATGATTCATATTACAATCTGTAGGTAGTAGGAATGAAAACTTAGTCGATTGGTAAAGCTTTCATCTTGTACCATATAATGACTGACTGTATCAGTAAAGCCGATAGCGAATGGAAAGCTGTGAATCATTCGCAACAAGCCTAACTTCAATCCCAGAATTGGAGCTAACACTAATTGGTTTCGAGACTAAGATTCCACCCATTCGCCTATGACTGTCCAAATAGTCAGCAAAAAATACAAACATGGCACCTAATAATTGCTAGCATAAAGCAAATCCCTTAGGTCTTGTGTGTTTTGGATGAAAAGTCGCAATTGACAGTGTGTATAAGTCGTGACTGAAGCATTATATTGATAAGCCTATGTTTCAACGTTAAACAATCAGAATCCTACCTGAGAACTTTGCGAACAGCACTTTTGCTTGAGTAAGTCATTTTGACTTGTCAGGGCATCAACGATCCGGTTTAGCATATTCAATTTTGCTGAAAGTACATGAATTCGCTCTTGGTAAGCATTTAAGTTCTGAAGTTCGCAAACATGGCTGTGTATCCACTTTGCGTGAATGCTCCACTGGTTGGATAATGTTTCACAATACTGTGGATTCGAAGTATCTGTAAGAAGAAGAGAATATGGAGAAACCATCATAGTCAGCAATTGAGAGGGCGCCATCTTTGATGGTGTGGAAGCTACCTGATCTTCGGAGGAGCTTCGCGTTCCGTTCCGCCGACTCAAGCATACAAATGAAAGCCTTCATTAAATGAAATGTAGATTTTGATCTGATAGAGGGAGTTAAACAAGTAGCTTGTTTTTGTCTTCTGTCCACTGCAATGAAAATGCAATTAATAAGTGTGATTCTACACGCATTTACCGCTACCTATAGGAAATGAGTATAGTGAATTACCTTGCGCAAAAGTGGGCGTAAGCTCACTACCCATTTCACTACTAACGAGAATTTCCCGAAGGAAATCACGCAACTTGACTATATCTCGTTCTGATTTAGTAATTACACTAGAATAGAGCTGACAATCAGAAAAGTAATTTCCAGAAGACTCCTCCGCAATAGTATCTGATGTTTTACAGCGGTTGTTTCGGATAGTTTGTACACCAAAGCTCCTGGTCGTAGGAAAGGCAGATACATCCGGTTTGCCGACCTTATTTGAACCATCCGGGGAAGTGAAAGAATTTCGTCGGAAAAAACAGTTAACCATGTCTGTTCCAGATTCATAACCGGATGTGTGAGTCTAAAATGAAAGTGTGCACAAGCAACAACACACCAAAAAAGGACCAGTCATGATGATCTTCAAGTGATTATTTTCACATCCACCGACCATTCATAGAGATTGAACACCTTAATTCACTAAAAAGCATTACGCAAACTTGAAGTGAATAAAACTCGCGCATAACTATGCAATCGATGCATAACATTAAAGAGCATTATAGGGCCAACACAAAGCTATGGACTGCACATAGGACTTTAAATAGGCACAGCCACAGTTGCAAGACGGAGCTCAGGGAGGTGTAGGCAACAGTGAACTCCACCCCAAACCTAGTACAACCAATAGAGAAACGAACAATAGCGTGGGACTTGATTAAGCCCCAGGAGACACATTTAAATAAAGCTGATACTAAACGCAGCCAACACCATTGGACTCAAATAGCGGATAATGAAGATGGACCGAGTATTTAACACTCATCAATGAACAACTCACAGTGTTTGGTTCATGCAAAAGCGCACCCTGGGAGATGTTTAAAAACGTAGACGGTGTGAGACTACCATTGACTGAGTCATCCAAGTCAGTTTGTAAACACTTGTCTTGCCTTGTAGAGTGTCGCATTGGCATTTCGTGCTCGGCATCAGAAAAGAGATTCCTATCATCAGGCTCCAAAAGAGCGTCAGAACTTCGAGTTCCATCGTCGTTGCCGTGCTCAGCATCATCAAATGTTTGGAATGAAGGTGGAGTAACTGAGAGACCGTCAAAACTCCACTCATCAATTTGACGTGTTGTTCCTTGTGGCTGATGAAAGTGACGCTCAAAATCAAGGGCCTCTGTTTCATCAGGAAACAAATCCTCCCAAAAAAAATTTTCTGACAACTTGGATTTCGGCTCAGCCAGACCACTACCCTCTGTGAAGGAATAACAGGGGGCCTGAAGAGGGAGAGTAAGAAGTATATGCTTTCGAAAATGAGAAGTCTAAATGATAGGTAAATGCTCACCTAGTTGTTTAAGGAACAAGGCTTATGGTGATTCGACTTGTTAGATATACTAATATACAGCACGCACACATTGCAAGAAATATAGGCAATGGGACAAATTTACAATTAAATATTACCTGATAATTGTCCCAAGCACTTATTACGTGTTCAGATGAGTCAAAAGGACAGGTTATAGTATCAGCCAAAGAATGACTTAGGCTAATCGTCCTGCCCGTCTGTGGCCTGTTTACATCATCCAGTGACCGAGCGCGAGCCAGTGCAACTTTGACCAAATGATCATCCGAACAACTCTTGCGCAATTTATTTGTTGATATTTCGACGTTTGAGTTGCTGTGCTGCTGCGCCGTAAACACCTCAGCAGCCTCGACCGCCGCTAAGTAAGAATTCACACGCAGCGATGTGCTTCCCTCTAGCACATTTTCACGGAAAATGAGGTCTGAAGAAGAAGCTCCGATAATGTCCGAGCCTGTTGACATTTGAGCGATCACTTTTCGCGCTTCCGAGTGCAAAAGAGATGGAGGACTCCGAAAAATCGCATGTGAATCTAAAAAAAATTGTCAGGTCGTGCAGTAAAGCTAGTGAATCTTAGATTAGGCCAAATAAGTCCAACTCTCCGTTTAATTGACAAATTAGTTCTTGTATCTTTATGATGCACAGGGCCATAATGTAGTCAATTGGGTAATTCAATTAAAAGGGAAACAAGTTACAGAAATGTCAAATTCAGTAGGGAAGTAGAATGATGTTGGACTTTTAAAGAGCTTTTGTGCGTCTACTTGTTCAGGAACGAGCCTAATATAACTTCTGCTAATGTACCGAAACCTCAAGAACAAAACTACCAGCCAAACCTGTTGCATTTGAAATCAAGGCTTTGCACTACTAGCTGTGGGCTTATGTGGGTTCAAAGCAAGGTTCCTTAGGACAACAAAAACAACCATCGTCTTTGATGTGTCGAGAGTGGACTCTTACCTGTTCTATTTGAGTTGCTAAGGCCACCGCTACGAGCCCTCAACGGTACTTTGAGAGGACCAGACGGTTTCGGTTGAGGAATATCACCAACCCTTGGAACACGGGTGTCACAGGTTTTACTCGAAAAAGAAGTTACCACGATTCAAGGATGTTAGAATGATCGTATATGCGGGATACAAGAGTTTTATGACGTGAAAATTTGAAGACCATTTCATGTAATGCCTTTTATGTAATGACAATACTGGATGCAAACTAGCATGAACTCCCCACATTAATGGGATAATAAAAGAATCACCGTTTCATCATAAAAGATTTTGCAGACTAACAAAAATCATATTTTCATTTGAGACAAACATCTACCGAGTATGGTAATTTCGTAATGCTGAATGTGAAAACGTTTACATAAACTCACTTTTGTACAGTCGAACTTTGGTCATCTACCATCAGGGAATTTCGGATGTCACTGATGAATTGGAAGTGACCTTTTCGCTTCGGTCTATTGGACACATTGGGTTCAAGCGTATCCATAGCACTAGCTGAATAAAAGAAACGCAAAATAAACTCCGTGCCTGTATTTGTGAGACAAAATCTCAGTCTCGAGCACGGCACTACACGAATGTCACACTGCATTTTATTGGTGAATTCTGAGACATCACACAGCAGGCCAATTAGAACAGAGGTGTGAATGGGCTTGTGTGGAGTTTGACCTTATAAGGACATAAGGATAGCTAAATTATTGTCAAATGCTCAGAATTCATGATTCCAAAGGGTATTTCGACAATGCATCAGGATAGACAGATGTCGTGAAAATACGCATAATTAAAGAATAAACCACTACTACTACTATTTGGAGGTAATAGCACTAGCCGAATCTACCGATGACATTAAGAGAACCTCTTTGGTGGTACCCTTTAATGAAAAGCGGATTCCATTAAATGTGATCCAAAACTTGGTAAGGGCTAAACATTAATACAAGTTCTCGCTTAACTGATTTGCCAGCCACAGTTAAGAGTATCAAGTATCTACTTCTCTATAAATGGAAGGGTTGGGGTAGTCTCAATGTCAATGTCCTCGTTCTTGCAATTTGGAAACTGCGTAAGAGTTTGAAATAAAAATATGAGTAGGGTTTATGAACTAATGTAGAGAATCTAGCTCTTTTTTAGAGCACAAACTAACTACTGAATTAACAGCCATCATACGCAAATGCAACTGATTCATTCTCCAGCCTCAACCTAAAAATGCGCAATTCAACCCGTCCATTCATAATAGCCGGATATTACGCTAAATTTACCGCAGAAACACAAAATACTGCCTCATCAACAAGACGCTGAGCTACCAATAGGCAAGAAACCCAGCGACTTATCCATAAAAATCCCATTGCCTTTCCATGCTAGATAACTACACAAATGCTTCCATACTCCTATGGTAACTATCGGTCTCGTGATGCATATTTTCTGTTTATAGTAGTCGTAGATTGATAAAAGCTAACTAGCTTCCACTTTACTTCCCTCCATCACCACGTAAAAATGTTGTCATTTGTGAACGGAGTTATTTATTATGAGCCATTTCAGGGTCAAGCAGACCACAAAATCAGTGCTGGTGGTCAAGCTATTGACACAATTGGTATTTTGGATTTGTGTGAACCTCATGACGTTAAATTATTTAGGTTGTGTAATGTTAGCTTTAAAAAAGGCGGAATTCAACATAAAAAGCTTAAATCGAATCAAAACTTAATCATATGGAGCATGTTATTAGCATGCAATTCGATACGATCAAGTACGCAACCTTACAATGTGGAAACATTTTAATCAAAGCATACCTTTGTACGCCAAATTTGTTGCACGTTCGTCTACTGAGTTAAACGGTTCGTAGCAATAGTTTAACCCAACGTTCCGGTTTGACTTTCCCGATGGAAAAGTGCAGACCTTACTGCTCTAAATTAAAAATGACAATAAAAGAAAGAAACTGGACCAATAAATCGGCGAGTACAATTGTTCCGATAGTTCGCTCGACTAGAGGCAAAACAGCGAATTCTACCTTTTTTCGAAACAGAAGTACCTTTTGATCATTTTTCATTTGGGTTAGAAGGTGGTCATTAAAACAGGAGCGCCAAAGTTCAGAGCTTTGGCGCCCACGCAGCGATTTGTCCCCATCAGCTTGCTGCCAGATTTCGTGATTGCCATCGAAAAGTTCCTCCTGCCAACTCTCCAGGTGTTCCAAGGCGAAAACGGTCGATTTGTCACCTGTTTTCGGGGAGATGTACCTCTCAAGAAAAACCATCATTTTGATTAGTCGTAACCACAAATCGTAGCAAAGCGCCTCGCATGAATTATTTGAGACAGTGAGATGCTGCATTGCGGAGAAAACGCCCTGATCCAACACGTCGTCTTCACGCAGGAGGTTAAGAAGGCGATGGACAGAGGATATGCACCTGCTACGCAACTTAACCTCTTTAAGAGCAACCTAAAATGTTAAAAGGAAGCATTTCCGTATTTGACTGCCTCAATTACACAACTTTGGAGCACGTAAACGAAAACCAGTTTGCTTAGCATTAGTAAATTACTTAACGGAAGGACAATACTAAAACCTGCGCCTGCGAATTTGACGCAATCGACAAATTAGTGCACCTATTCCTCTCCAAGAGAGGAATCTACCAAATGACTATGTAAGACACCTTAGAGGTTATCAGGCGAATGCTCCATCACAGAACACTGTTGGGGGAAAAAATTGTTGCAATTTTAAGCCAGATGCAAAGAATGATGCTATTTTCTGTGATATAAAACACGAACTAACATTAGTCCAAAAAACATCAAAAAAAGTACCATCGATTACCCTGTAATATTTAAACGCTGCATCACGATCGCGACTGGTGAGTGATGCGAGAAAATGCCTCCAATTTCGGTGATCGGGAAGGTCTAAAATCGGTCGAAATACAAAGCAGAAAAGGAAAACGCTTCCTAACCTATGAGCGATATAAAAATGAATTTAAACCATCTATGGAATCCGGTAGTCTGATCGATACCCAAGATCCATAAAGGTATACCAACTTACTGCAGCAAATTTGACGCAGCGAACAAAAATTCAACTCCAAATCGTGTTCAACCGCTGCAAAACAATTGGAAACGTGTCGTAAGACTTCATTAACAAATTTGATAGCTTACTCTAATATACAAGTAGCCATATAAAACGCTATGCTACGTTTTATGTAAAAAACCATTCGAACGCCCGCGGATGCGCAAAAAATAAGCCAGGTTTCCCAATTTAGCATTACATGAAAAGAAACTTGATACTGCATTCCCAGCAAACTCAACGCAAGGCACAGAAACTGGATTAACAGTAATAACAAGGATTGAGTGAAATGAAACAAACGCCCTTTCCAGTGTTTAAGAATGCGTGTACGTCCTCCACGTGACCAAGATCACATAATGAAGTCGAACATTCGTCACCATGCGCATGTGTGAGGCGGTACTGTGATAAATGTGCTATCGATATTTCCCTTCTACCCAATAGGCTCTACGCTAATCACGGCTAATAAACAAATCCTGAAAATATCAGAATTAAACGATGCAGAATGGGAAGGTTTACAAACACATAGATGTGTATCTTGAACAAGCTCCCAAGAGTTGTTTGAAAATAGGATTAATTCTCTATGATGCATCATGCATGTTGAGACTCCAGTGTGAATAAATGATCTCCATGGCCACTGCTAGATAGCGGTAAGGAATGTACAAACACGTGATCCTCTACAGTAATCATCAGCGAAAATCTGCATGATTCACCAGCACAATCCCATCAGCACATGCTTACCACTCAAAAATCAAACAAAACTTGCATACATTAAACGCTACGAACACACCTGTTAAGACGGTGCTTTATTGAACTGAGGGTCATTAAGAGATTTTCCAACGCGATATAAAATATATATACCATACACGAATCAGACGTCCCACATAACCCCAAGAAGTGGAAGTGGAAAAGAACCTAATAATGTTGCTCATATGAGGCCAAGTTTTTGATAATATTGAATTATTCTCGTGACTCGAACCTATCAAGCATCAAACCGAAAAAACGCCGCTAATCATTTTTGAAGACAAGTGCTCCATGGGACTAATTCTGAAAAAAAAAACGTTTCAAAACAAGATGACATCATTTATCCTTTTCAAAGCATTACTTAATTCTATGTGCAGTATAGTTTTAGCTTCTGGTATTCCGATATAAAGCAGGTACTACGGTGTCATGACTTCAGCTATCATTTGTTGCGTTCTGTGGTCAGCTCATGATACTTTCCGGTAACACTTATTCACATTCTATTAAAATTATATATTGCGCAAAAAATACTTGATGCATCAGATAGGTTGATACCTGTCGTCAAAACAACACTCAACAGCCCTACCCACGATTACAAGACTAGATGACCCTGCTTTCTTAAAGCAGGAATCTTAAAGGCAAACCAGAAAAGAAAAGATGAAATGGATTTGGGGGCTAGCAATTGAGAAATTCATCATCAATTTGATTCCACACAAACATGAACATGATAAAGAGGAAGCGACAAGCGTGCTTTTTGGTACGAAGGCCGGTGTCCTCGTTAATCAATTTCAAAACCGTAACAAAGGGAGCGATGATTTATGGGACTATTCATATAAAGCATGCCTTGGTTGTAACATGGGAGAAAAAGCTCAAAACAATTCAAATTAAACTTGGTCAGTAACTGCATGTCGACTGGGCTAAAATATGTTGTCAGCACTGATTAAAAAGAAATAATCTTGACCGACTCAATAGACCGGACCGACCTATAAATATCTCACCTTATACAAGAGATGAGGAAGTACCTTACACTTCTAACATGACAACCCATTGTAATCACATCATCGGATACAGCATCAAACAAAGTATTTGGATATCCGAGGATTTGCCGCCGTAAATGCACAGATAAAGCGCAAATGAACAGCACAGTTATGAAGACAAGCAAGAAATTAGGGGAATGGCCAAAGGAGCCCCACTAGGAAGTAGCATAATACAAATAACAAGAGCCTGGTAAAGTATTAGCCAGAATGGAAGCACATGCCTTTTATCACATCACCAATGTGCTTCAATGGGTTCTTTGGGTGCAAGAGTATAGACACTAATCGAAACTCCGATTCAACATCATGAAGTTGTCGAAGAAGCGGTTTCATGCTTCCAGAAGAACGACTTTCACGACACGTCGTCTTCACACTTCGCGCAAGCATATTCAGTACCGACTTTCGAATAGATCGCTTTCTAATTCCTAACATCATAAGCCTGTGATGAAAAGGCTAGCAAATAAAAGAAAACGAAATGTTAATAACCATACTACCACAAGGAATGTAGGAGATGAAGACACAAAAAATATGGCATGCAAGAGTATACGTTCAAAGCGGATAAAATTTCGACTAAATATTTCAAAACAGTAGCACAAATTCATCAGATAAACATAACATTACCGAAAAAACGTATTCATCCACCCTATTATGCCTACGAAGGAACTCGTATTTCAGCGAGAAGATCTCAGTACACAGCTGCATTAACTCTTGCTGAATCATTCTTTTCGCACTAGAAGAGCAGCTCATGATAACTCCCACGATTGGACCGACGCAGACCACAGACAGATTCAGCACAATGGGTTGTTTGTAACACTAACGCACGAACAGAGTAAATTTACACGACAAGTTAAAACAAGGCATTTGACATAAAAACTACAATTATAATATTATATATAATAATATTTTATTATGTTTATGTATAAAACGTTAAACGCACCTCGATGAAATTAGTTTGTGGCTGTTTTTTACGCGTGCTTTCACAGACCTAATAAAATTTTCACACATTGTGAGTTTTACAACATTTTAGTAGAGTTTAGTTATCGTCCTTCTCTCTTTTAATCATGACGCTGTGGAATATTTTGTGGCGCAATTTGCGACTGTGCATCGCACGAATGGATTTAGTGCTTTACTACACTTTCACTGTTTTGGAGTGCCCTAAGCTACGCGTCAAGAAGGCAACATGGATGCATCTACCTTCACGAATGACAGTCTTTGCTTTGGTTCTATCCACCTACTTCCTCGTCACTGGAGGTAAAGCCTCGGCCATCCTTTCCTTTGTAGGTATCATATTTGACATCATTAACGGACCACCCAGTGTTGGTACGGAAACTGACGCTAGGGGGAATCAAAAGCCGGTAAAGTATGAGATTTTCGCACGTTCTAGGTTGCATTTATGCAATGGCGTATTAACAGTCAGTACATAATGGAGGGTCTTCTGTGCAGTTTCATGTTCACAATTGGAGCAGTTGGATTCATCTTGCTTGACGTGGTTAACGAAGCTAAAGTGTCCAAACTGGCTCGAACAATCATGCTTTCCTTGGGTCTCGCATGTGTGATCATATCTTTCTTGTCTGTACGTGCGTTTATGAAGATCAAGATGCCGTAAGCCGAATCCTCAATCTCATCTCTTAGCTCATACCGATTTTAATGCTCCGCTTACGAGAACAGTCACCGGAACAAAAGGCTCCACATCCTCTCAAGGTCCCTTCTTACAGCCTCCTGCTCACTTGAACCCCTTCTCTGGCGCTTGAAACTGTCATACGACCTCGTGTTCGTACTGTCACCTTGACCTTGCTCAAACAAGACTTTAGTAAAACTACCGCTTTCAGTTATTAACTCTTAACATAACAGGCCGTTATTTCTGCACACAAGCACGCAGCTTGCCTTTGCCTTGGATGTCAAATGAGCCTTCGAAGTCGTAATTCTCTGGTGGTGCGAAGGTAATTCGCGACTCATACCACATGTACTAGTTCCATCAGGTCCATGATGCTTATTTCACAATGGACAAGTGCAAGTCCCCGCGACTATAGTAACCCTCATACATTTCGCGCAGCGACTCACACCTAGCAGGGAGACGGTTATGTATCAAGATTATGAGGCCATCAATCTGAGGATGAGATCGACCCTAGCGGTTTATTAACTGCAGGCGACCTTTTGTTCGTAGTATTAGAGGGGAAGTAGTGGGATATGAGGTTCGCTTTGGGTTGAGGTCATTCCTGAATATCAGCCAAAACTTCCGGCTTTGGATTCAAAAACGCCAGGCCCTCGGGTGTATTTCTATGCGCCGGCCCCACATATTTGAGCGGATCAAGCGTGTACAAAGTCTAAAGCTCGTGAATCAGTCGTATGCAAACGGGAACCTACGATGCCGAGTGATATCACGAAAGAGCATATGCCGAGGTACATATACTTTGAGTATTCTGCGTTCAGAGCGTCATATTTCTCCTGCCACGGTCCTTCAGGTTTCGTCATGTCATTGTAGTTTACTTGAGGAAATCGAATTGGCTGAACGTGAGACTTGGCAACACGCACCGCATCAGAACGCATAGCTAAAATCGGTAACATGTTGCGGATAACAGACCTTTGGTGAGTAGACGAACCGCACCCCGACGTAGTAGCGCCGCCATAACTGCCCGCGAACGAAAACGAAGAACCAATAGATTAAGAGATAAAACAACCTACTGCTTCAAAATGCTGTACAGAATAGGCGGAATTCATGGTGAGCTTTAGGAATGGCAGATCAAGTTTGTCTGTCGTGGTGAATTTGGTAGAAGCTTACCCCACTGAATATTTTAATTCGCGCAAAGTACAATAGCCATAATGCGATCTGCACAGCTCAGCCTGTTAAGATAACCAAAATGGCACTGTGATATTTTAATGGAACTGTATCCTATGCGTAAACACTTGTAACCTGATGAACGGTTAAAAACTGTGTTAATTTTAGACCTTGTTTCAA